TCAACGTCGTATGCGCGCGAAATACGTTGGCAGCACTGGCTGTAAATCAGCTGGTCAGCTGTTGTACTGTTGTATTTGTCACTTCACATTAAATGTTATATTAAAAGTTCACTTCTGTGTAAAAATAGGTTATGTTTCTTCACAAATTATGGTAACAAATTATGGTTTTATGGTAACTGTAGGAAAAGTATAATGTGCAACTCGAGTTCAAAGTACAATTGCCTCACTCGAGAAACAATTCGTGAGTAAGGATTTCTCTCGAGTGAGTCAATTGCTCACTTTTCTCACTAGTTGCACAAATAACTATTTCCTACTTACATAAAGCAGGAGTTCTCAAACTTCATCTACTCAAGGACCCCCTAATTAATTATATACGTAATGCGGACCCCATACGATTAGCCCCACCCCTAACCCCTATTAACCGAATATTTCCGTAGGCAAGGCATGTATTGGGCTTGCTAAGTATGATAAATAAATTTGATTACAATGTTTTTTCGGACCCCCCAAAAAACTAGGGGTCCATGGACCACACTTTGAGAAACTCTGCATAAAGCATAGAAACAGTTAGTCTCTGAAACACTATACAACACGTTTTTAGGTTAGGATAAATTCAAGCTTGAACGAAATTGGAAACAATACAACTGCACCAGCTGATCGTAGTTGTAGTATCTTTTCCGAGCGTACACGGATTGTGCATAATAAAATCACGCCGTTTTGTGTTGTTTGGTTGGAATAATGGAGCGAAGCAAAAAAAGAGTACTGCGAGAAAAAGCGTGCGGCAAAATTAAGTGAATGCAGCAATTAACAACTTTCTGTACTATAATCAGGGCAAGGAAGTCCACTTTGTCAGGTGACTGTAGGAAAAGGGAGAAATGAAATAAAATACACATCTTTTTGAGTAAATTTAAAAAAAAGTTCCGTAAAAATAAAGATTGTCTTGATTTATTTCAACACCTTAGTTTACCAAACAATACAAATCCGATCTCGTACAACTTATTGATCATTTATCAACAACTTCCTGTATATCACAAACTGAAATAATTTTCCTATCCTCATAGTAATTTATACAAAGCTGCGAACCATATACAATACTTTTCTTTGTTTGAAACCCAGTGTTTCAAATGCCGCTGAAATGTTGCAATTATTTGCGATTCCAAAAATATCGAAGGTTCCCAGATCCTCTATCCAAGTCCTTTCAGCATTTAACGCCACAATTAAACGCAAGATCACGCTTCAAGTAAGCTTTGAATTAAGTGAACGATCCTCTAGGCCTACACGTGTAGCAACGTTTTTAACAATGCATAATCGATGCTGACCTTGACTTTGATACAACAAGTAGACCTCCGATCCGAAAGTAAAATCTAATAAACGTATTATGTGTATGCCCGTTATGAATGAATGTGGATGACAGATAAATGTCTTCTAAATGTTATCATGTTAAGTCTATAGTGTGCTTTATTCTCTGCTGTGTAGGGCCTACGTAATAGGATAAGCAACAACCTAAATTGATATATTAAACTTCCTATACAAGTTGCAAAGTCAATAAAATAAATAGTAAAATGAATTTTATTTTCAACTTGACGTAAACATAACTCGAGCCTTGAGCCACATAATAAAGAGAAACGTAAACAATTGTTATTTGTATTATCGCTCAAACGATCATCGCTAGCGTCAGACGCTTTTCATTTCAAAGTAATGAAGTATTTTTAAATGAATAATTTTTAAGTTTGGAATGAATAATTATTTTCATTTCAAACTTCCTAAACGATAATTCTGGAGAGTTCTCATTGATTGATAGCGTTATCTAACATTCGTACAATATTGTTGTTTCTAGTAGATAATTCGTATCTGAGGATAGAAAAATCAGTGTAATGACAAAAATGTGTAGACTAGCGAAGATGTGTAGCTAAGTTCCCACAACTAATTGCGTTCTTTAGGTGTAAAAAAGTCGATTGTATATAGACATTCAAAAATAACTAAGGGAACAGAATGTAATGTATATTAGAAATAACTGCTACCGTTCCTACTCATTTAAAGAAGAGGTACCCTCGATTTAGCTTACTGCTATTTGTGTTTCGTGTTCATATCGATACATCGATAGATCCAAACTACGATATTGTAGACAAATTACAAATTTGTTATTTCAATAATACAATACAACTATACAAAACCTCTTTCAATAGGCTTTTGAGTAGCATTCTTTGATAGTTTCATCAAAAGCAAACAAACGTAATCTTTTCAGATACAGAAAGTTATACTAAAGGTTAATTACTCTGCAATGTTAAAATTTATTATAAGTAAGATTAATAAAAGATAATTATAGACAACAATTTAATTCCCAAAATTAAAAATTCCCAAGACCAATATTACATTTTGTTAGACAATTGATATACAGTATCATTCATTAAAACCTTTGCTTTATTAACAATTTACTAGACTAATCTAGTGATACTAGGGGAAACCCGTCGAAATCGACGGTTACTTTCAAGGCTTACGTTAATTCGTCTAACTGCGATGAATTGGGTGAAATATACATATTTTGAGCATTTAACATTGCTCAAAAAGTAATAAGTGTAAAAACAATAACAATATTGCGTTAGTTGCCAAATTTGGTTGTTCATTCAATGATTAAAATATTTCCTATCCTGTACGTCATCGGAGTTATTATTAGTATGTTATATGGTATCTCTTCCTTTGGTAGAACCTTTAAATAGTATTTAAATCGTATTGGTGGATCTTGTAGTTTAACACTTCCGCGACTTCATCAGTGTTTGAGAAAAAATATCTGTTTGTTGAGAAGACACGTTCTAACTTCAAAGGGAGGTATATCCGTTACAGACAGTGTAAGTTTCATTTTCCTTCGTCACGTAGCGTCAGTTCATATCGTACTTCTGTGCCAATGAATGAACCCTCTAGCATAGTTTTGAGAAATTGACTGTGGGGTTACTGATAAAGCTGGAATTCCTTGACATGGGGGATGTCAGTTAGTTGTCTCGGCCTTATCAATAACATAAAAGTGTCAATATAATCTCTCTACGGAATGTTTGGTGTAGTGGAATACATGAAGTAAAGTTGGCTTTTATTCTTGAACTTGTTAGGGGCCTCCTAGTTCATATGATCTTGGTGGCTTCATTGACAATAAATAATGCAAATGACATAGCAATGGAACATTTCCAAAAAGCAAAAATACTGCAAAATACTGTTAAAATACTTTAATCCTTTAATACGTTTTTTTATGGCGACCATTCATAGTAGGTATTTTAAGCCAAGTATGAATGGAGATGAGTGTAGGATGAGTGGCGCGATCTTGTAGTCTTGTTAGTGACTAAGGCCGACATTCTTTAGATACAGCTGTTAATTAATAGCCGATACAGCGAATGGCAACCAAGGGACCTAAAGTTTATAGTTGAATTGGAACCATTTGTTTTGCATTGGTATTTATTTATGAATTGGTATAATTATCAGGATAGCACTGCGGGTAGTCGTAGTACTCACTCGTGCGGATGTTAATCCACACCAGGGAGTATCGCATCCACAGTGCATTCCTATAAATATTCACAATTCGTGACCTCCTAGTAGCTGGATTACAGGACGACGCCACCCGTCCCAGTCAAAGGATTATGTGATCTAGTTTAAAAGGAATATGACCTTTCTGTCATGACAGTAGCTGCTTAAATAGTATTTTCTCTTTGTACCATATTTTACAGCCAAAATGTCGTGTTATTTTCAATAATGTTACTAATTCAGTGCGCCAAAGTCCGTAATATAGGCAGGTGCAAATAATTTGTCAAGATAGGTACCATTTTAGGCAATGTTTCTAAGTTTCGATTTTATTAGACACAATAAGAGCAGATATTTCTACATAAATATTTGATATTTTGTAGAATAATATGATAAAATGTAGGCAAAAGTGGCGAAAAAGGCACACACCAACCCGTACAATAGATATAAGATCTTTTGATAACTCATCTACATACCAAGACCTTTCTTTGGACACCTCTACCAAGTTTCTACGCCCAACCGTTCTCTCAAATTAGTGGGGACAAAGTTTCCAATCAAATATTTAGATTCCCCCATGTTAATCTTATAGGAGAAACTCCAACTTTGATGGCCTGTGGGGCAAAGCCCGAGGATTTTTACTACATGAATTGGTGAAAGGGGGCGTCTACACAAAAAATACTTTATTTTGACACGTCGTTTGTAAAAATCCGTCCATTATTAACGGAGGAGTAGTGTTTTGTAGAAATCGCCTTCACGTATTATATATAAGGATAAGGCACATACTGTGTATTCTTTTGCAAGCTACACCACGGCAATCCAATTGCAACCTTTGACTTATTACTACAGTATCATTTGACATTAATGCCCAAAGAATTCTCGTTTTTCATTGAGAGGTTAATTTAATGAGCTCAATAAGCTACTTCCCGTGTTAACACAGGACATTAGGAATGACGTGACCGCCCACAGCAACGCCATAGGTTAATCAACTAACTGGCTTATCAGAACAGCTGACCAGATTGAATACCCCCACGCAGCAAACCTGTGTACTCTGAATTGCCATAGTACCATTGTACATTGCCTTAGATAAAACATACTCCCTTCTTATCTGTATGGAACAGCTGAAGCCAATTTTAATATTAGTTCTGTCAGGTGTACTGTAGTGGTCATGTTTTTTTACAATTTTCTTATTGTTATCTTAGTCATTTAAAACCTTGTTTAAGCCAAATAAAATTATCCATACACGAAAAATAATTCGTCCCCTAGTTGTACAACCAAGCAGTAAAGCACAAACCATTAATGAACCCTAAAATAATATAAACAAATTTCGTCGACACTAGCGATCAGTGTCACCGGACATGAACTAGACACGACAAACGAGCTTCGAAATAAATATGCAAACCAACTCCTGTTCTGAATAAAGGTTTCAACTTACTATAAGATTCGTGTAGGCTACGTAGAACGGGCAAACAGCTAGTACTGTAACTAATAAACGTACTCACCAGGTTTGTAATTAAGATGTCACGGTCATACTTCTTTGTTTCCTGAAAACAAGAAAACAGTTAGGCTAGTTGTTGAGATATTATACACTAATTCAGTAACGACCTGAATATTTTTGTTAAATTTTAATGTTTATACGGTAAAGATAGTAACAAACATATCACCTGTTGTGTGTTCTAGATCATATAACACTTTACATTTCCTCCTGTCATAAGGTGTGTATTTTATTCGTATGAAAAAAACCCCTTAACAAAGGAAATAAAACTATTATGTTAAATAACTTACCCTAACCCAATGGAAATAAAACTATTATGTTAAATACCAAATCAGGGACTGTAAAAAGTTAGAAACATTGAATTCACAACTGGACCTAATAAAACCTGATCTTTCATAAGTACTGATCATGGATTGAGTGAAGATTAACCAAAATGAGTATGTATTTGAGAATCTTTAGAGTTCCCAACTGATCTTCGATATAGTCAACCTCAACCATATTGAAATCTATTTTGTTAAAAATCAATTTCAACTTCCACGATATCATATGTTTGAAGAAAATAAGTTAAGAGTGCAATCGACTCTCTATCGAGGCAAAAGTGTCTACCACCATATACAAATAGACTTTGTGGCTATGCTTCTACTAATAGTAGAGTCAAATGAACGGCGTTCTGAACGGAATAGCAAAAACCTTAAGAATGGTTACTTTTCCTTCATCTGCTTTGTGAGCAAAATTGCCTCAACATTATAAAATACTATTAAGTGTTCTCATTGCAGCCATGGAGACCAATCAATATTTACTTTTAAAATGTTCACCTCAGAACCTTTAAAGCCAAAGGGGCAAAGTCTACAGTCAGTATCGAAATGTGAATAGTCCTATAATGGTCCTTGGTATGGTAACTATATTTTTGTAAAATTTAAGCCCGGTTGGTGCAGTAGTTTTTGCATCTATTAGTAACACAAATACAGACAGACACCATTAGCATTTTATATATTAGTATAGATATAGAATCACACATATGAAAAATGTTTTTTTTTTTATGTTTTCAACAAAAACTATCATCATAGACTAAGAGAATGTTTTATCTATGCTATCATCCAATTGTCGTATTAACAGGTTTCGACGACGTACAAGTTCCAATGCTTAGCTTAACACAGAAAAGCTGACAACCCAGATGTAACAATGCTATGTTTTAAAGTCAATGAGACAATTCATGTGCGGGTCGGGGCATTGAACGTGGGCGCCTGTTAATGTTTCCGGCCACGCTGGGCGCCTAAACATTGGCGCCTTTTTACGTGTAGAAAGCATTTAGGCAAAACTATCACGTATAGTTAGGATAACAATCAGTCTGGATTTTGAGTGTATAACAGTTTTAAAACCTTTAAAATTGGGGTGGTTCCTTAATGTATTCTGGGGGTCGCCGCCTAGAATTAATTGTGTGAATTAATGTGGCCACCGCGACAATACCGATATGTGAAATGTTTTTTGTGTAAATGATTGTGTGGCGGTTTTATTTAAACTAGAGATCGCCCCGTGGTCGAAAACTAGACCAAAAATATGTATTGTGCAAGCTTCTCTATTTTCACCCCACGCTGTAAATAAAACATGTGATAGTCATTATCCGTTATTTCGTCACCAGCATGGAAACCTATAAGGTCCATCTTAATTTTTATAACATTTTAAATTCATTTTTTGTGCGTATTTTTTTAACATATTTTAATTTATAATTAAATAAAATTATAAATTGATTCTGCACATATACAGGCAAATATCTTTGTTGCAGTATGCTTAGATTTTGCGATGGTGTGCGAGCTGAGAAAAAAGGTTTTCAAGAAGTATACTTGCCTTTTAATATTATTAAAGGATGTTCATGAAGATGCCTGATGATGCAAGGCAACACCAAACTGAAGCATTGACTATATATACCTATAGGTATATTCAGTAGGTATATATAGTCAATGACTGAAGTCATTTGTGTTGACGAAACGCGTCGCGAACTTCAGCGAATTGGAACCCTAAAAGGTAAAAATATCAATATTATTTACAATGCTTGCAGTCTTATCAATCCACTGATACATTTTCAACGGAATTAAAACTTTACAATAAAATATATAAATACAATATCCAATTGCATAGCTTTTATAGTTTGATAAGATATGACTAACAATAAACCTAATAGGTAACCCAAATATTTAAATTTAAAACACTTCTCGCCTGTTTCATTGCATTTGCATATTGTATCAAAGTAGATTGTGCAATTCCACCAAATCAGGTTGATTAACCTTGGTGGTTATTGTTTCGTGTGCTCTTATATTTCTGAATTGTTTGTACATTTCTATGTAATATTGCAACAATAAAGATTTTTCTAATTTTCTAATATTAAAACATTAATTGTTGGTGCAGACACCCTACTGTACTAATTATTGAACATCCTGTGAGCACAGTACATTTTGCTAGGAATCTCGTACAGTCTATTGCTAAATCGACCTTCAATCTTATCAATGAGTGTATAATGGGGAACTATTGTTTAAGTTCCTTATTAGATATACAACTAAATGCGCATAAATTAACACGACGATCTTGTTATGGTCTTTCTAGAGTGTTGCAATTGATGTATTACGATATAGGAGCTACTACATTGTTGTGAAACCAACTATACAACAACAATGATCAACAACAATACGAGGAATTACGTAAGATGTGCCAAGGCTTAAGCTCATCAGCTGATTATTTTCTTATCTTGCACTCAACTAACGAATCAGTGACGAGTTTCAAGCAAATAAAAACTGGAGTTACTATTACGTAAGTACTGTAAACACGATTCACTTTCCTCGAGGATATTCTCGATATGGTAAGTGGGAGGAGTGAGGTATTTACTGGTGTAGGTACTGGAATACCTTCGTGATCAACTTCAAGGTCAATTGACAGGATTTATGTTTTCAAAACAGAGTATGCATTCCAAGGAATAACAGGAAAATAGTCAGAGCTAGAGGTATAAAAATATGTAGTAGAGACTAGAGAATACTCGGACAAACTATTGGTACATGCAAAACAAAATACAGTAAATAGCCAAAAAATTTTAACTTTGCCATTTCGACTGAAAACAATCAGAATGAAACATTTTCGTTGAAAACAACAATTATTTAATCAAACGAAACATATTTTACAAAGGTAGCATTGAGGACGAGGATTTCGCGATATCATTGTTGGAAACTTTTCTATTAGATATATTTTTTCGCTCTAAAACCATTGTGCTCCATTACTTTGCAAAATAAACTATCCTCATCTTGGATAAAACTAAATTCATTTAGGCATGTTACGGTATTAAAGAACCATTACACAATTAGAACTAATTGCAACATCTCAAGGTTTAAGGGTGACAGCCGAAGTTAAGGGTTTACAAATTGATGGTGGATCTTGAGAAATAACCAATAATTGGTGACATTCCTGAATGTTAATCGAATTGTCTGTTGCTCTCCTGCTGGGTAATTGGTAATTTAGCCAAACCTCCAATCCAATTTTAACATTTGGATCAATGCTATCTTAGTTTTGTCGTCTCTGATTTCCCACCAAGAAATTTCTGCATAACGTGTATAATCCTTGTAAATGTTATCATCATTTTAGTAAACATCTGCTAAAAATAAATACTGTTAAATATTTCTGATATATTAAATTTATACCAATCAATCAGTAACAAATCATTTATTTATGTCTTAATACTTACTAAACATTTTTAAATTGGTGCTCGACTCTACGTGTTTTTAAGACTTTCAGGGGTTTCTTATAGCCTTTATTATCACTTTTTGATAATCCACAAAATGTATTATGTGTGTAAACATCTATTTTCGAACACAAGCTAAATAAAATGTTGGTTTTTTTTATTTTCCCTATGATACCCAAAACCCAAGTAGACTTCTAGTTTTAGTATTACAATTATAGTCAAACCATATTTTTGAGCGTTATGTTTTAAATAAATTTGAACAGAATTTGTTCAAATCAAACATAACTAAATTAAATATTGAAGACTCTACAAGAGGCATTATAGTAAACATAAACATAACTTTTAAAATAGGATTTGATTTTGATCTGACTGAAAATTTAAGATTTATGGTTATGGGAAATTTCTAAACGCAGTTTAGATAAAATAATAGCTTCCTAGTAATAACAATGCCAAAAAGAAAAACGTATCCCTGTGAATATTAAAATAAGTGCGATACAAGTACCTACTGAGATTGGTTCTAACAAAAAGAAAATTACGACCCAAAACCATGATTAGGAAGAATATGTATAAGCAAACAGAACGTACTGTTTTTGTTTTTCAATAACAGTTCTGAGGGTATTTTTGTAAACAACCCACATTCCAATCTCGAATCTGGGTTACTGTTATGAATATATGTTGACGTGCAAGAAATGGCGGATTCTAAGCAAATAAATCCTTTAGAAAAATGATTTTCATGTAAATATTGAAGAATCTGAATCAAAAAGCTCAGATATAATACGGCATGGATGTATAAGTTGGGAGTGAAAACTTCTGCAATTAATTCAACAGAAAGACTCTATTGCCTAAGATAAAATCCGATAAGCTTAAAATGTTGACTACTCACCAATTGTATTCACGTCAATTGAAATATGTTTGGTGATGTAAATAAACAATAAAACACATGGAAAATACCAGCTCCAAAAGAGTGATGTTTCATAAAAAAAAAAACAATAAATCCTCAAGTGGCGTACATTTGTAGCTGTCAAAAAACCTGTTATCTTCAGACCAAACTTATAACAAGGTGTTATCAATCTGTCTTATCTCGAAACCACATTTATACCCGGAATTCCCTGTTATGGTAACATGGTTTGTGTAATGTTGTGTCACAGAAAGGAAATTTATAGTTTGTATGATTTCTTACTTGAATACCTCATCCAATGCAATTGTAATAAGAGTATTTATAAGAACACTTTTCTGTATGGACATGCTAGGTCAATATTCACAAAGATTATAAACGACATGACAAAGTAAATCTCTTTCAACAATGCTTTCCTAACGTCAACGTCACA